TTTTTTTTTTTTTTTTTTTTTTTTTTTTTTTTTTTTTTTTTTTACTTTAAGTTCTGGGGTATATGTGCAGAACAGGCAGGTTTGTTACACAGGTATACATGTGCCATGGTGTTTGGCTGCATCCATCACCCCATCATCTACGTTAGGTATTTCTCCTAGTGTTATCCCTCCACAAACCCCCCACCTTCCAATAGGCCCCGGTGCCTAATGTTCCCCTCCCTGTGTCCATGTGTTCTCATTGTTCAACTTCCACTTACGAGGGAAAACATACAGTGTTTGGTTTTCTGTTCCTGTGTTAGTTTGCTGAAAATGATGGTTTCCAGCTTCATCCATGTCCCGGCAAAGGACATGAGCTCATCCTTTTTGATGGCTGCATAGTATTCCCTGGTGTATATTTGCCACATTTTCTTTATCAGTCTATCTTTGATGGACATTTGGGTTCATTCCAAGTCTTTGCCATTGTGAACAGTGCTGCAATAAACATACATGGGTATGCATCTTTATACTAGAATGATTTATAATCCTTTGGGTATAAATCCAGTAATAGGATTGCTGGGTCAAATGGTATTTCTAGTTCTAGATCCTTGAAGGGTCGCCACACTGTCTTCCACAATGGTTTAACTAATTTACACTCCAACCAACAGTGTAAAAGCATTCCCATTTCTCCACATCCTCTGCAGCATCTGTTGCCTCCTGACTTTTTATGATCACCATTCTAACTGGTGTGAGATACTATCTCAATGTGGTTTTGATTTGAATTTTTCTAATGACCAGTGATGATGAGCTTTTTTTCATATATTTGCATAAATGTCTCCTTTTGAGAAGTGTCTGTGATATCCTTCACCCACTTTTTGATGTTAATTTTCTCCTATATTTTTTGTCTCTACTGAAATCAACATGTCATTTTTTAAGGTTCTATTATGATGAATTATGTTTATTATTCTCCAAACATTAAACCAAACTTTCAGCTCCATTTATGACTGGGTCATAAATGACAGTCTTTTCACACATTATTGTATTAGATTTTTTAAAAATTGTTTAAAATGTTGCATATAGGTCATCTACAGTTATATTTTGATTTCTTAATAATGTTTTTGTCTGATTTTGGTATCAAGAGAAAGCTAGTCTCATATAATTAGTTGAAAGTTTTCCTCTTCTTGATTTTCTGTAAAACTTGGTATAGAGTGGATTCTTTTTTCTCTTAAATGTTTGGCATAATTCACCATAGAAGCAATCTGTGCCTGGAGTTTTCTTTGTGGGAAGTTTCCTTAACTACAAATTCAACATTAAAAAAAAAATGTATGGCTACTTTCAGCAATTGTTTCTTCTTGACCAGACTTTGGTTGTTTGTATTTTTAAGCATTTGTTCACCTTATCTCAGTATTCAAATTTATTTGCATATTATTTTATAATAATGTTATTGTCATATTAATTTTTGAATAAACTTCAGTAGTGTAATCTCTCCCACCATTTATATTGGTTGTTTTCTCTTGTTAGGTGGGTAAGTTTTATTTCAGTGTTATTAAATTTTTGACTTTTCCAAATACCACACTGGTTAAATTAATTATTATTTTTCTGTTTTGCAGTTTATTAATTGCTGGTGTAATCTTTATTACTTTCTTTTACTGCCTATTTTGGGTTGAATTTGTTATTTCAGTTATTTATTAAGGTGTAAACTAAGAACATTTTTTTACCAGAATAGTTTAATGTAAAATTTTTCATTCATATGCTGTTTTAGCTGCATCTCAAGAATTCTAATATGTTGTATTTTAATTTTTATTCCATTTACAATACTTTCTAAATTACTTTGAACCCTTCACTGACTTATCTGCTATTTAAAAATATCTTATTTAATTTCTAAACATCTGGCAATTTTCTAGATATCTTATTAATTTCTAATTTCATTTTATTGTGGTAAGATAACCTACTTTGTACAATTAAATTATTTTAAATTATTTAACGGTTTGAAAAATGGCATACCTTTTTATATTCAATTTTAAACTCACTGCAATATGTCTAGATAACAAGGCCCATATGTTTTTATTCCCAGAACTTTTATTTTTTCATTGTGGCCTAATAAATAGTCAAATTTTGTGAAACTTACATATCTGGTTAATGTGCAATTTTCTGAAAGAATATCTCACATAATGATTTTAGATTAATCAATTTTCTCCTATAGAATTCTAGTCTCTGGCATGATAGGATAATGAACATATGATTTTCCTCTTCCCCACTAGGAAGAAATGTAAAACTGCTTGCAGTATCCGAAGCAAACTTTTTTTGATGCACTGGGAAGCAGATAGTCCAGGATTCCTACCCTAGAGAAATATATATACATCTCAGAGGTAAGGTCTATGTTTACCCTCTCTTTTGGAGCATTCTGTGAATTATGACACTGGAACATGGAATAAACATAGAAGTTAGCAGAGTAGCAAGGTGAAGATTACAAAGTTTAGACCATAGCTAAACTGCAGGGATTCTGAAGGATGTTGTATCTGTGGTCAGGGAACTGCAGAGAAAGAAGCTATATAGAGGAGAAGCCTCAGATATTTGCACACATTTCTCTTGAATTCTGACTAAATACTAAACACATTTTCAGGTTAAGTCTCTGTGAGGTCTAAGAATAAACAGCCACTGGGGGACTAAGAACTGAGTGGAGATTTCACAGGTCACAGGTGCTCTCATTAGCCAGAGTAGAGATGCATTTTTTAAAAAACCAGGAATTTAGTTGAGAAAACAGAAAGGTTATCCCTTAGGACAAGATTATTCTAATCTTAGAGTAGATACTAGGATAAATGTATCCTAACAAAAGCTAAACAAAAACTGCATGAGGTCCAGCTGAATAATAGTAAATTAAACTACATTCAAAATAAAATCAACACTCTTTAGAGGAAGCAACACAAGACCCTCATTAACATAGCAGCATAATGTTCATAATATTATAAAAATAATACAATTACACATATAAAGAAATAAAAGGTAACCTGTAACCAGAAGAAAAAAAATAGTAAATAGCAACAGACTTAGAAATGACAGAGATCCTATTATTAGAAGATAAGGAGCATGAAACATCCATTATAGACATGTTCAAGGATATAAAGGAAGTCCCAGCATGATGGGTTATTGAATGAAAATTCAAGTCAGAAAAGGAAACTGCAAAAACCAAAGAACCAAATCAAAATCAAAGAATTGGAAATTAATATCAATGACAAATGTGCTAGATGGGAGTTTACTGCAGATTTGACAGCACACAGTACAGAAATCATGAACTTGGAAACATTTAATTAGGAACTATACAAATGAAAGTGAATTCCAAAAAAAAAAAAAAAATGAAAGGAACCCCATCGACCTCTGTGGCAATATCCAGTAGTCTAATATGTGCGTGTTTGTTGTAAAAAGGTAATAAAACCCAAAAATTCTAAACCCACATCAAGATATACTTAGGCATGTTATGCTCAACCTTCCAAAATCCAGAGATAAGAGAAATCCTGAAAGCAGGCAGATCAATAAGATGTCTTACATAGAGGAACAAAAAAATATGACATCGTATCAGAAACAAAACAAGTCAGAAAACAATGCAATAATAAGGTCTGAATTTTACAAAAGACTAAAACTGTTTAAGTGTCTTTAGAATTAAAGGTATTTTTCAGATAAACAAAAGCAGAGAGTATTAATTATTAGATACTTAAAATATGTCTTGGATTTCTATGATGTATCAAAGAGCACTGCAATAGTAAATACATAGGTCAACATAAAATTCGGTTTATTATTTCTTAGTATTTTAAAAAGACCTTTAAGGTATTACACAGAAAATGAAAACAATATATTATATTGGGGTATATAGAACATGTAAGTAAAATATATGACCAAACAGTAAAATGGACAGGAGAAGGGTAAGCCAATATATACTTTTGTAAGGTTTGTAAAATATACATAGAGTAAATGGTATTTATTCAAGTTGACTTTGATGAGTTCTGGATGCTTATTGTAATGCCTAAAGAAATTACTAAACCAATGAACTACTAAGAAATTAAACAACATGGGTAAATATTAAAAAATATTAAGCAAGAAAAATCAGAAACAAAGGAACAGGCATTAAATCTTTCAATTTATATGAGGATACAGAACAGTCAAAACTAATCTATTGTTGTAGAAATCAGCAAACTGGCTCTCTTTTCGGGAGACTGAAGAAGGGGGGATGGGTTAATGAAAATATTTTGTATTTTGGAATAATATAATACATATTAAGAGAAGTTTAGATCGCACAGGCTACAGTTTCTCAAAATATATTGAACAGTACACTTAAAATTTTTATCTTCTGACATTTAAAATAATAAATATAAGATAATGTTGTTTTAAGTATGAACAAATTATATTAATGGTTTTTGTTTTATAGTTTTAAGCTCTATTGTTATTTCTTAAAGTTTCAGGTTGGTATGCCTCCTAGAAGATGACATTTTTATAATAATACAGATTTGTCCTATCACCTTTAAAAGATCTAATCTTCATTTGTATTATCTCTAACATCAGCTTAATCATGCTCACTTTTGGAACATATGTTCTTTTATTTATGAAAACCATTTTATGTTTTCTTCAAG